CCTGTTTATGGGTAGATGACTTCTTTTTCGCTGTGATATAAATATTTTGGCAGCCATTAATGGCTATAAAGCACTATCCTGACTTCTAGCTTCATATGGGTGGTTTGAAGCCATGTTAGGTATTGAGTATTCAGCTTAGGTTTCATTTACCTGGTTTTCCATCTATTTGTTTTTCTTTTTGAATATATCCTCTTAGGGAGATTGGAGTGGTTTTTGTTTGTTTGTTTGTTATGGAGTATGTTCTTATTTTTGAGCATGAGTACAATGTTTTAAGAATGCTTTCATTTTTTAACTTTGCTAGTGTATGAAGGATCTTAATATGACTTTTTACTTTGCTCTTGAAAATTTACATTCACTGTACTTATACATTACTTTTTACTTCCTTATTTATAATGTCTTAATATTTTTATGTTTCTATTTTATTCTATAATATAGCTGTTTTATTATTCATTTAACTTTTACTTTCACAAAAACAATATTTCAAAAGTCATCTAGTACTAAAAAGCTTACAATGAACCAGAATAGTTTTCCTTCTCTCCCTGAATCCTCTACCCTAGTGACAACCACTCACAATTCGTCTCTTTCCCCTGATGTTTAACTTCATATTTTGAATAATAGCTGACATTACTTACTATGTTATAGTCATTGTTCTAAGTACTCTAATTCATGTGATATAAATAATGTGATTATTTATTAACTGACACATTTTAGTAATATTTTATTGCATTTTTGATGTAACAGATAAAAATTGAACTCCTCCATGTTCTCGTCTTCTCCTTTTACTTATCTGTTTAAATAAAACAATTTCAGTTTCTTTGTTATGCACATGCAGGCTTATGCCAAATAGTTCATCACCACTGTGTTTTCTTCCTTGCAGGGCCTTTTATTTCTCCTGGAACTGACAATTGCCTCATTTATTTTTAGTCTGTAAAAAAATTTTTAACCTTTTACTTAAAATGGGGTCTTACTCTGTTGCTCAGGATGGACTTGAAATCCTGGACTCAAGAGATCTTCCTGCCTCAGCCTCCAAAGTAGCCAGGACGATAGGTGCATGCCACCATGCCCAATGCCTACTTCATTTTTTATGCCTCTTGAAAAATATGATTAATATTTCAAATGTTCTAATATTTCTACTATATTCCAATTTTTAAAATTTGCCCATGGACTCATATGGAGCAGCTCCGACTTTTCTAGAGAACTTCTCCAAGAAATGCTCCTCTCCTGCTCCAATAGAGACTTTTTCCTTTCTGGGAAATTGAACAGATATCATTATATATTAATTTTGCCTCTCTCCTAGTCTATTTTCTGGATTTTATATCTTCATTTTTCTTGGTGTATTTCTTGTTTTGTCGAGGCATACATTCTAATAACTCTTTAAAACATTATAATGTTTTAGTTTTTGCATGGACTGACAAGCTGGGAATAGAATTATAGATTGGAAATCATTTTCACTTAAAGTTTTGATGACATCACTCTATTTTATAAATGAGTCTGATGCCAACTGGGTTGGCTTCTTTGTAAGAAATCTAATTTTCCCCACCTGGAAGTTTTTAACATCTGCACCTTAATCTTTTATCCCTGGTATTCTGAACTTCTACAGTAATGTACTTTGGGGTCTGTGTGTGTGTGTGTGTGTGTGTGTGTGTGTGTGTGTGTGTTTGGCAAGATGGACACAGCAGTGGAGGGAAGGGTGGCTTGGGAAGATTAGTGCTGGTGTCATTATTGTTTTGCTTCCTGGGGCTGCATTCAAATTTCATGTTAATTGTTTAATTCTCATCCATTATCATGGTTCTTTCCAATTTTTTGGACTTGTTTTATGGCCTAGCATGTGTTTTATCTTAGTGAACATACTATTGTACTTGAAGTTGTTGGACATAGGAGTCTATAAATACCAATTAGGTTCAGTTATTCAGATTCTCTATGAATTCACTGATGTAAAAAAAATCTGGTTCTTCTATGAATTGTTGAGAGTGGAGTGTTTCAATTTCCCAGTATGATTGTAGAATTTCTCCCTTTAATTCTGCCAATTTTTGCTTCATGTATTTTGAGGCTCTGTTATTTTTCATATATTTACCAGTGTTATGTCTTCTTGATAAATTTACTCTTTAATCATTATAAAATATGTATGCTCATCTTTGGTAATACTCTTTGCCTCAAGGTCTGCTTTATCTGTTATTATAGCCACTTCAGCCTTTCTGTAGCTTACTGTTTGCATTATATATCTTTTTTCATCCATGTACTTTTAACCTATGAGAAAGCTTAAATACACGAAAAGGGGGAGGAGACATTCCAGGTGAAGGGGACAGCATAAACAAAGACTTAGAGATAGATATGAGCTAGATGTCTTTGCAAGATAGGCATGGCTGGAGCTGGGCTTCCTATAGGAATTTGAGGCTAGGTTATGGATAGTGGCCATTTAACATCAAGGCTAAATGGTGGAATTATAAAGAAGCATTTGGGACATTGTCCTGTAATCCTGTAAGAGCTGAAGAGGAGACATTCATGGCTTTTTCAGCAGAAAAGGGGCATGCCAAATCATAATGCCGAATCAGAATACTGTGTAGGGTGAGTAGTGTGATGTTTGTTATTCCCAGGTCTTCTGCATATATGTGTAGTAGACTGTGAACAGGAATCAGGAAATCAGCAAGGGAAACAAGTTTTTTAAAGAAAATTTTAAAGGTTCTCAGATTTTAATTGTACTGAATTCAGTTTCAGGGTTTGCATATAGAAGCAGGAAATTTCAAGAAGAAACAAACAATGAGCTAGAGAGAAGTCCAAGAGATTGGAAGAGCATCCCAATGTGGAAAATGGAGAGGGAACAATTTCAGGTCAACATGCAGTCATCCTTGCTTCTGCAAGAGTGGGTGGCAACTTTAGAAGGAGGCAGTGATTTAGTTAGAGTCAGCACTCGAAATTAGGGACGGACCAGCTGCTTGTCAGTTAACACCGTGCCTGTTCCATTTTCTTAGATGTACCACTTCCTCCCCTGTGGAGATCATCATGCTATTTTTTCTCTCTCTTTTTGAGGACCATCTTCCCTACTCCTTGAAAAGGAACATTCACTTATGTCTTAAATTGTGGCAAAGTCTTGTACCTGTTTACCAGGCTTTAAAATGGTTAAGATTGATTTTTTTTCCTATTTTCTTGAATTGTGCTAACTCCTCCTACTTCAAGGAAAGCAATTTTGCCAGGAAAAAAATGTTACTGACAAGTTCCAGAAAGGAACTGCAATACAGTGTTGAAAAAAATTAAACCCATTTAGTAAACAGAACTAACATATTCAAATGAAGACGCTCTAGTTTTCTGTTCCACCAGAGTCTTTGCTACACATACATGTGAAAGTGATTCTATTTCCCACCTTGGTTTGTGAACTTTGCTAAAGCATTTCTGTGTTTTTAGCAGTAGCCAGTCCCTCTTGATTGGAGCCTGAGAAAGCCAGCCTTACCCTCTGGACATGTAACTTCAGCAAACCGCTTTGGCTGCCAGGCACGCTGGAGATCCTGTGGGTGCAAATCCTCAGAGAACAAGAGCAAGATAATCAGTCCAAGGAGACAGTTAATTTTAGTACAAAAGAGGTTAGATGTGATTTATTTCCAACACCAGTGAACCAAGAGAGCTAACAATCATCAGGACAAAACACAGAACCATCAAATATTCCATGTTAAAATGGCTTGTGTCAGCTGAGATCTGTCTCGTCATTAGCAAGGGAGGCGTGCTTCAGGTGGCTCAGAAGCGCCGGGGAGAACATTTTCAGGCTGTCTCTACAAGCAAAGGGGTTTGAATCATCAGAGTTTAGAGAAATGGGTTTAGAGACAGGAAAGAGAATAGGAGAAGAAAAGCAGGAGAGAGAGGACAGAAGGGTTTTTATAGGAATATCATAGATCATTCGTCATTTCCTTCATTGTCATTATCTTCAGAAGGCAGAATGCTAGGAAAGGATCCGTAAGACTTACGCTGCCTCTTAATCATCTCTTTTCAACTGCTGCAGAAAAATCCCCTCCATGGCTCTGCTCATGATGGAGCAGAATTCAGCGTGCCCATTGCCAAGCTTAGCAGCACTCCCTAACAGCATCTCCACCTAGGCAGGTGTATCGTTTTGTACTTGAGCAGTGTGTTACCCTGCATTTGAGCAGAATACGAAGGCCTGTCAAAGGCTGTTGCGCATGGTCTCCTTGCGGATTTATTCAGCTCTGCAAAAACCTTAAACAGCTTCTTTTCCTGTTCCTGGGACACTCACGTTGCACTGGAATCCCAGGGTTTGGAGGAAGACCTATAAAAATGCTATTGACAGCAGGGTGAGGGCTCAAACAGGGATGCACAGTCTTAGATTCTTAAGCAAACAAGGGAAAAAGCCTTAGACCCTCTCTGTTCTTCTTTTAGGGACCTTACTTACCAGAACACTTTGGGTCTTGATTCCTGTCCCCTCTGTTTAGTCACCCTGTCCTCTCAGCAGTCACTACATCATGTGCATACTTCTGTTATTGCCTTTATGTATGACACATTATCCAGCCTTCATTTGCCACGGACTGGAACAATAGCTTAATTATCTGTGAATCTCTTAGACCTGGATCGGTACTTGGTATTTATATATTGAGTGAGTAAGTGACTGAATAAAGGAAAGAATGTCATTTATATTGAGCAAATAGTAATTAAATGGAGAGTGAAGCTGTCTACATCCATCCCTGGCAAATAAGATGGGAAACATTATGAGACTCTTGTATTTGTCAGAGGAAAAACAGGAAACAACATCTTTCATTGTGCTTAAAGAGGAAAAGACTGTGAGGGTATTGCTCAGGCTACTCGAATGGGATCCAGGGCTGGAGGGGTATTAAGATTTAAGCTCCTGTGTGTCTGTGTAGTGCATATTTGAAAACAAAGGTTCATATCTCACTTTCTACCTGCAGTTCCCTTTCCTGACTTTTCCTTATTGCTTATATGGACAGAGATCATAAGGCATTCTAATTGACCTCAGTTCAAATAGTCTGTCCTCTTATCAGCTCAAGGGCCCAATTGTAGGGTTCAGAAAAAGCATCTCTACTTCTTTAGCTTTTCTTTAAGTGTGTATGAGTTTAGATTGGCTGTGTTACATGCCTAAAAGGAAAAATTACTAAAAAAAAATGTCCCAAGGTGTGTTTGTCAAACAGTAGAGCAAACAATTACATTTGATAGTGGTTGGGGAGGAACTGGATTTTCCCCAGTAGTCCCAGTATCATAGTAACTTCTTTCTAGAACACCTGAGACTTCTGTGGTTACCAGAGAATGGTCATTCAGAGGTCTGCCAGGAGTGTCTGTCTTGCACTGCATTCTGTGAAAGCCTCAACATACATCCCTGCACCCTCTCTGACCTACTCATTTTTATGGCTACAGAGCTGGGAAGCAAAGCTGGCATCATGTGGGGAGTTTCCATGTGCAAATGTCTACATCCTTCATTCATGTCCTTCAAGGGTTTCCTTTCACATTTTCTGATTGTGTTTCTGAGTACATGGTGTCAACAGCTCTCAGAAATGTTAAGTTTTCTATTTATCCTCAGGCCAGGAAAAGGCACAGATCACTGCAGTGTAAAATTACCAGTGGTTTTGACAGTGACCTGGAAGAACTATGGAATGAAGAAATTTAGCCTTGAGAGCAGAGGTTCAGCCCCAGGCCCATCTTAACCAAGAAGTTCTGCTCAATTATACAGGTCACAAGAAGTTCTGCTAGTCTTGAAAATATTGAACTCATCAAACTTAAGTTTGGTGTTGTTGACAAATCTTGGTGTGTCTTGGACACAGCCTTGGACACCAACTACCGTATTTACTTGTTTATTGCCTCCTTTGTTCCATTTCTACTCAACTTTAATTTTGAAAAGTAATTCTGAGTTTTAAAATTTGCTTTTTATTTCTTTTGCAAGGGCTTTCCAAGTCAGCACAAACTCTTCTGAAGGTTTGAAAAACGAGGCAAAATAGTAAAAATGGCCATATTTGCTGAAAACAAAGAGGATTTATTTCTTTGGAACTGTTCTGACCAAGCGTTTAGAGAGCAGATGTCATAATGGTTAAGAGCTCAGGCTTTAGAGCTGGACCTTCTGGGTTGAACCCCAACTCTGCCACTTCCCATCTATGAATCTGCGGGCAAGTTACTCTCTGTGTGCCTCAGTTTTGTTTGTTTGTTTGTTTGTTTGTTTTTTTGAGACAGAGTTTCGTTCTTGTTACCCAGGGTGGAGTGCAATGGCGCAATCACGGCTCACCGCAACCTCCGCCTCCTGGGTTCAGGCAATTCTCCTGCCTCAGCCTCCTGAGTAGCTGGGATTACAGGCATGCGCCACCATGCCCAGCTAATTTTTTGTACTTTTAGTAGAGACGGGGTTTCACCACGTTGACCAAGATAGTCTCGATCTCTTGACCTCGTGATCCACCCGCCTCGGCTTCCCAAAGTGCTGGGATTACAGGCTTAAGCCACCGCGCCCGGCCGCCTCAGTTTTATCATTTGCAAAATAGAGATGGGAGCCGTGATACCTACTTCTTAAGGATGTTGTGAATTATTAGGTGTAAAGCAATTAGAATGAGATCTGGCTCGTAGAAGGTTCTCAATAATCATTAGCTACTCTGTTAGTCAGCTTGGGCTTATAGTGAAATACCATAGATTGAGTGGCCTGAACAACAAAAATTTATTTTCTCCCAGTTCTGGAGGCTGAAACTGTGAAATCAGGGCGCCAACATAGTTAGGTTCTAGTGAGGGCTCTCTTCTTGGCTTGCAGATGGCCACTTTCTTCCTGTGTCCTCTCATGGTAGAGAGATCTTTCTCTCTTTTTCTTATAAGGTCACCAACCCTATAAGATTTAGACTTCCTCTGCCTTAGCATGACCTCATTTAATCTTAATTAAATCATAAAAGCCCTATCTCCAAATATAGTTACACTGGGGGTTAGATTTTAACATATGAATTTTGGAAAGACACAATTCAGTCCATAACAGCTACTATTTTTAATTAGCTCATAACTTAGAACTGTTGCAGATGTCTTGTGAATGTAGAATCACGAAGTTACTCTGGGCAGTATAGAAATATGTACTTAAAAAGGGAATTGTGTGAATAAATGGGGGATAGCTCAAGATAGTTGTGTTTTAATTAGAAGACAATTCTCATGTGTTTCTTTGTCTATCAAGCTACCATCCTAGTCAGAGCCCTTAAATATGATCCTGAGGCTTCTATTTCTTCTTCTGCTCTTAGCTTGCACTAACCTTGGTGACTAGTTACTTTCTGAGTGTGGTTTATTACCTTACTTCCGAGGGCCATTTTAGCTTCTCCAGATACAATTGAGGCAATGATGACTTGCTTTCTAACTGCAGGAGATACGCACTAAGGTCTCAAAAACTCCACTGACATTCTTTAGAAGGGTGGGAGTCCCAGAATCCAAAACACTTTTCTAAAATTTTTCTCACAAAATACTTCCTTAATTTTCTCTTTCTGGGCCCTTTTATATCTTCATTGAGTGACAGATTTCAAGGATTATGCAACTGGTTCTTCTATGTTTCTCTTTTTGGAAATTCTGCATATGGTCTAGCACTTCCTTTGGAATGCAGCATCAATTGTATCTTGGTACATCAGTCAAAACTTCCAATTTAACATCCTGTTACATTTAGAAATGCATCCTTCATATCTTGTCATGGTACACTGGATACAGAACATTTCTAACTCTCCAAGCCTCGATGTTGAGCCAATAGAGTTAGGGGTAGGTAAGGAAGGAAACTAACCTTTACTGAGTTTAAGTAATTTGTTTATTTCATATCACTAGAAACTGCAGAGCCAAAATTGGTCTCTAGGTCTGATGTTCTAAAACCCAGGGTCATTTGCTATATGACCAAGCACTTGTGCAAAACCTATCCATGGAAACACTTCCTTAAGCCCTTTCAACTTTCAACCTTCTTGGTTATATTCATCCATCTATTAAAACATGGTCAGATATTTTTGAGTTTCTGGTAAATCAAAGAAAACATAAAAAATAAAGTCATTCCCTTTGCTCCTGATATAGCCTCTTTTTTCTACCTCATAAATAAGGAAAGGATAACCTCTACTTTTATAGCCTTTGAGGGCTTTTTAGAAAACTATAAATTAGTGACTTTGGCATTGCCCCAAGAGGATGTGTTTATTAACTTGGTTATAAATACTTGAACTCCACACTCTAAATTTAATTTGTCAGATAAGAGAATATTATGTTAACATGCATTTATGATTTATTACTTCCCTAATATCAATGTGAGTTTCAGAAACTAAAACATGGCTTTTATTTTCCAATTCCTAACAGGGAAGACAGAAAGAAGTGGATCTTTCTGTTAAAAATCCTTAAAGCCAGCTTTAATCCATATTTAGGCACATACCTATGAAACTGGAAGCACTAAGGAAAAACGGAAACTTCTAAAAGATCCTATGGAGGAAAAAAAATGGTTACCTCCTAGGGAATCAGAATCAGAATAGCTTTTGACTTCTCATTAGCAACATTGGATGCTAGAAGACAATGGAACAATGCTTCAAAGTTCTGAGGAAAAATAATTTTACCATAGAACTCTATTCCCAGCCAACCCCCTGGCCAAGTAGAGAGGAAAAAGCACATAAAACATGGCATAAATTATAGTTTATAATTCTGAAAAAAATAATTGAAGATGAACTCCAGCAAAATAGAAACACCATGAAAGAGGAAGGCAAGGATACCAGGAATAGTAGGTCTAACTTAGCAGAGAGAGAAGTTTCTGGATGACCGGCTAGCAGCAGCCGAAGAGCATGCTGTCTAGATGGGAGCAGAACTTAGGAGGCACCTGGGTGGATGTCTCAGGCAGGAGACTGGTCTATGAGTGAAAACATTTATGTAATCATAGAACCTCTGGTTTTAGGTTTGTATATTATTTTTTACCATTAATCTTTAGACAAATCCACAGAAGGCTTAATTAGTATTACAGAAAAGACCATAAATGCTATCCATTTTGACAATGTAAATGTATAAGCAGGCTTGACAGATACTGGGATGTGAAATGGGGGCATGGACGAAGAGTGAAAGATAGAGACAACAATATTCTTGTCTAACATATACAAATACGCTGAAACAAGAAAAAAGCATTGGATATATTATCTGATATTATAAAGGTAACCGATAAGACAGCCTAAGCTGTAAGTCGTAGTGACTGGGAAGAGGAAAATAAAGTGGAAGGAGAACTGTAAGGTAATTAAATATTATTCAGAGCAGGGAGCAGTAGTGAATAGTTATTGTTTAAAGTTGGTAGAAAGAGAAATAGTGATATAACCCTGGGTTGGAGTTAAAAAGGCAAGTGCCAGAAAATCACAAAACAGATAAAAATTCTTAAAAATGATTAATTATGGGAGGGGGCTGGGCATGGGGAGAAAACAGGTGGGATTGTGACATTTTATTAAAAGTCTTTATTCTATCTTTTTAAAGACTGTGTCTTGCTATATTGCCCAGTCTGAACTCCTGGACTCAAGGGAGCCTCCCATCTCAACCTCCCTAGTAGCTGGGATTATAGGTGTACCACCATGCCCAGCCTATATGCCCTTATTCAAAATCTGAAATACTCCAAAATCTAAAATTTTTTTTGTTTTTTGAGATAGGGTTTGTTGCCCAAGCAGAGTGCAGTGGCACAGTCATGGCTCACTGCAGCCTGGATCTCCTGGGCTCAAGCCATCTCCACACCTCAGCCTCCTGAGTAGCTTAGACTACAGGCGCACGCCAAAAGTGTCTGGCTAATTTTTATTTTAGTTTAGTTTTTATAGAGATGGGGGTTTCAGTATGTTGCCCAAGCTGGTCTCAAATTCCTGGGCTCGGGCCCTCTTCCTGCCTCTGCCTCACAAAGTGCTGCGATGATGGCATTAGACACTGCACCCAGCCCAAATCTGAAATTTTTCAGCACTGACATGACACCACATGTGGAAAATCCTACACCCAAGTTTAGGTGGTGGATTGGTCAAAACGCAGGTACACAACAAGTAGTTTATTCAACATTCCCAAGAGAAAAATAAAGTTATCTTCAGGCTATGTGTAGAAGATGTGTATGAAACATAAATGAATTTTGTGTTTAGATTTGGGTCCCATCCCCGAAATATATCATTATGTGTATGCAGATATTCCAAAATTTGAAAAAATTTGAAATCTGAAATACCTCTAGTGCCACACATTTCAGATAAGGGATACTCAACTTGTGTATATATAGTATATAGACAGTCCCCAACTTACGGTTGTTCAATTCACAATTGTTTGCCTTTACAGTGGTTTTATTGAGATATTAAATGCATTTTAGACTTATAATGATTTTATTGGGATGTAGCCCCATCCTAAGTCTAGGATCATCTGTATATATGTTTTATTTTTACTAAATAGCCCATTTTAGTATGTTGGCTGTTCAAGCGTTTCAGTCTGTCCTGATGATGATAGTAGATTGTAATCAAAGAAAACTGGTTGCCTGCAGGCAGGTGCAGATCAGCATAAAGGTGGGGTTGGGTGCTTGTCAGAAAGACCTTCTCAGCTAGAGATCAGAATGGACTGCATTTTTCAGGGCTGTGTTCTACATATTAAGGATATGTAAATTAGCTTCTCTATCAATTAACACAACCACAGAAGTTCAAAGAGGCAAAATCTGGAGCAGCAGGTGAACAGGAAGGGGCATAACTTGGAGCAAACCAAGGGCTACCAGAAGATGGCTTGTAGTTATCACAGTGCTGAGCAGGAGATGTAAGCCAGAAATATTTACCAGCTGGTTAGTCTAGCCTTAAAGGCTACTGACTGTCGGCCAGGCTAGATAGAAACAATCTGGGTTAATCTACTCAATTTAAATCCAGGCAGTGGGGGAAATAGATACTATTATATTCCTCTTTACTCAGCTATAAAACTTTTGGTTCTCATGCATCATTTTCATTTTGCCTTCTCGCTCCACATACCAGTGATTTTACCAATTGCTCTTGTAATTGACTTTGCTTCTGGAAGAAACTCTTAGAATGTTGGAATTTCTCTATTACACACTTTGCCCCAAAGAATGTGTCAGTCAAGACTAAAGCAATAGTCTCAGGGAAGACAGCCAACCTACATCTGATGACAACACTGCAGTAGAGTAGTCACAATATGCTGACTTCTGAGCAAGCCCATGGCACTACCCTGGAAGGTCCAAGCGAGGTACCTGTCTCATAGTTTGACCACTGAGTGGAAAGCGCTTCCTCTTTGTCCTTTCTGTTTATTCACAAGTGGGTGAAATGGATTTCTGAGTCTCCTAGCCTAAAGCAAGTTTTAGCTTGATGACTTTTATGGGCATTTATGTTTACTTTGTAAAAGTGGAAGCAACAATAAGAGTTGTAGTAATATGGAGGAGTGGAAGGTTAGCGGTTGTTTAAATCTTTTTAAAAAGAATGCATTTGCAAGAGCCTAATGTTTATGAGTGGCTAGGACATTCAGAGAGCATAAAGTGCTTTTAGGGTGTGTTGAGATGGGGAGTTTTCAAATGAGCCCAGAGTTTCTGAGTTCCTTCAAGCCATCCTGAGACTTTCCTTGAAAGAACACTTGCCCCTGTAAATATGTTCACTGTGTGTCTGTTCCATCATTGCGGGACTTGTTCTAACATTACATCAGGAAATAGAATTCTTGGGCACCGAAATAATAGAGAAGTGAGTCACTGGATTAGAAGGTTACCTATCCAGATGAATCGGTGGGAAATTGGTTCTGCGGTCTGTTTGGTTTGGTAATAAAAGGAAGTACATTTCTCCAATCAATAAGGTTCCTGGTTCTTTAAAAATTTCTCTCAAATCCTTGGTAGAACATACTTAAGACTATACGAACTTGTCATTTTCTAGCTAGGGAAGATGGTTCCTTAGAAAAGATCTTATTTGTCACCACCTCATGGACACTTTTTTGAATTCTTCATTTTAAGGGCCTTGGAAACCATTTCATCATGAAATGAATACATATGAATACATAAGGTTTTCTACATACCGAATCATTTTTCTTCATTCTAGGGGCCAAGAGGTGGCAGTTAAAGACAGGCTGGGAATTGCTATCAATCATCATGGTGGCCTGAGCTTCAGAAGGGCTCTATGTTCATCTCCTCTGACTTTTCTTCTCTGACCTCTGTGGGGAGCTCATCTGCAGAAATCCTTCTGTGCCATGCAGTAGACTTGGCATCAAGCAAGACTGAGGTTTTCCAGCTCTGCAGTGGCAAAGACCTGGGCTGTCACTGGGGAGGCTGCACCTGGACTGGACCCGTTTGTACTGATGGCACTGGGTCCTGCACTATCTGTGCAGCCCTAAAAATAGCTCTCAATTAACATTGCATTTCAAGAATTGGAAAATTTCCCAGAAGTCCATTCTTTCTTCCTTTTCTATTTCATTACATTTTGCAGTAATAATACACAAGCCTGCAGAAAACATGACGGGTAATGAAAAAATGTAATTAATATAAGCAGTGTAAAGCATGTTTTTTTTTTCTCTGTTGTCCTTGCAGAAAATTGCTGCTTTAAACCAAGCAGGATATGAAAATGCATAAACCCCCCCTAATCTGCTGTGGTTTGTAAATATCTTATGCAAAACAGTTAAGTCAACTGTCAGATTTTTTTTTCTAACATTAAGCCACATATTCTTGTAAAATTTCTTTCCCCTGCAGGACAAATGGAGTGATTTGGATAACTCTTTGTAAGTGGGGAGAAATGGCAGTGATGGTAAGGTTTTTCAACCATAAACCTAAAAGCCAAAAGAACCTCCTTTTTGGATGGCTGCTCTGTGCATTGGTTTCATCTGAATGGCACCATAGTACCTCCTCTCAGTACAATCAGTTCTGGTATAGTACTTGCGAAGAGGAATGTCCGTGCTACTATTTCACACCAGCACACCTTATCCCATTAACTGAAATAAAGTGATTCAGAGGCCAAGAGGCTGTGGTGTATGCCAACATGCCTGAGACCATTTTGGTTGACTTATTTGAACCACTAGTAATTATCTATAGGTGTTTGACTAAGAAGTCACAATGGAATTTCAAAGTGGAAATAGAGAGCATTATTCTGAAAGCAACTTCCAAGGCCAGTGCTTATGGTTTGCTTGCATTTGTTTTTTTCTTTGTCCTTTAAAAAAGAAAAAACTACAGTTGATATACCTTATGGATCATTGTTAATTTCTATCTTGTCCTGGGTACTAAAGGTTTTCCATGGCTTGGATGTGTGTGAACTTTCAGATTTTGCTCGTGTGGAAACTCGTGGCCTTGTCACCACTGCTTCACTAGGCTCCCTCGTGAAGGTAGGGTCCCCCCAGCTGAAAAGCGGCGCCTCTCTCCTGTGGCCTTCTGAGCAGCCGTGTTGGAGTCCCAGATGTAAGAAATGAAATAATCCACGCTCAGACAGTCACAAAGTGCCCATCTGGCACCGAGAAACCTTGTGAGATAGAAGCACACAGCCGTGAGCTCACTTTTGCTGTGGCATTTCATAAACAGAGCTGCAGCCTGCTAGAGAAAGACTTTGGGGTGATAACAATCACTTTCCACTCTGCTCCCTTTTGCCTGCTACCTTCAAAACATGCACAAACACGCACACACAGAGGACGTTGGCTTTTTTAAAACATAGGGGCCAGGGAGAAAAAAATAGAGGACCATCCTCAAATAGGTAACATTTTTTTTCAGAGGGTCTGAAGGAGAAATTTCCATTAACAGCTAAATCCCTCCCCACCACCTCTCCGGCCTGTATGCACAGGCAATGGTGTAAAATGTGACGAGTCAACTCTTAGTTAACTCATTCCTTGTACGTCACCCTTAAAATAAGGAAATGTAGCAGTGGGAGGGATTTCATAAATCACACACTACTGTACTGCTTTCTAGTCCTGAAACCAGATTCACAGGAGAGCCTAATAAATGACCTCAACACTTCCTCTTTGGCTTCCTTTTATGTATTTGTGCCAAAGTAGGAGCAACAGAAGCCTGATCAAGGGGGTGTTGGTCAGAAAACACCTCAGGATGAGTGTGTTCATGTATGAATACAGAAGGGTGACCGTCCCTACAAATGCTTGCAACTGACATTCAACCCCAAGTTATAATTAAAGAGCAAGGCAGATGTGTAAACTTAGCCTGCTGGGGCAGGGTGTAATTGTTATATCAGATCCCCATTACTCTATGGTTCTAACTCTATTATTTTTTAAAAACACAGATTTCTAAGAAATGTAGTACCCAACAACAAGAGTGAGACCCCTAAAGTAACAGGTGACTGTGGACACTGGGAAGAAGTCCAGCGCCAAGCATGGGCCTTCAGTGAAAGACTGGTTAAGTCATGTTCTGATTTGTATTATCCTTGCATTAAATCGAGGAATAAAATCACCTTAGACATTTCACTTGATGTTGTTCTGAACTATAATTTTAAAAATTCAGGTTGCATTATCCTCCCGAAATATCATTTCACATTCACATTCACTCTCTTAGCAGGTCCAGTCTTGCAAGGGAGATATTTTCAAAGAAATCAGAGTTTTTGGCCCCAGAGCAGAGAATGATCACCGTAACACAGGCAGCGTCCATCCCTGGCCCCTGATGACCAAATGGCATGCAGGAGTGATGAGGTGGCTGGAAGATATCTCTGTGGAATAAAGCTTCCTAAACTCCTGAACCTTCGGGAGGAAGAAGCAAATGGCTCTCTCCTTGGGGAACTTGCTCACTCCTCTCTGACACCCCTCCTGCCTTTCCAGAGAATGGGGTCTGCTTGTTTGCAAATCCAGAGTACCAAGTGGGTAGCACAATGCGATGTTTGTAAATATGATAAACCATTACAATATTACAGCTTTTCATTTGGAAAGCCATTTAGGCAAGAAATGATTACTGACCCATGATATGTAAATGATGGAAATGCAGAAATTAGTATTTGGGTCAACTCATGTATTTTTCAACCATGAAATGAAAATCTCAGTGTTCACATTCCAATTCATACATGAAAGCATCACGGTGCTATTAGTTGACTATTGTGTGAATTTATTATTGTCTTAGTTAATGTTTTCAGAGCCACCCTGAAGTTATACCTCTACTTTCAATGCACTAATATTGTGGCTAAGAGAGGGGTGCATGTTCCTCTGGGCCAGTGGGTTTCCTGAGGGAATTCTATGTTAGCTGAGAAGAAAGAAAGTGATTTTGAAGGAAGGTAAGGGAATCTCCACCCCAAATATTTCAAATATGGGATCAGTCTATCCCTCCCTTGTTTTGGGTTCACAAAATCCACAAGAATGTGTTACTCACTTCTACTACTGTGACAAGTTCCTAGGTGCCCTTGGGGACACAAAATAATCCAAAAGAGACCTTGGTCTTCAAGGTTAAAGCAAAAGAGACTCACCATGAAAATGGCACAAAAACTCAAAGGGAAAGAATTTAGGAAGGCTTCCTGGAGGAGGCCATATTTAAACTGGTTCTGAAGGGCTGTTAAGGCTTGAATAGGCAAAAAGATGGAAAAAAGTTATCCTAGGTGGAAAGCAAGAGAAAATATTCTAAAAATGGAGTAGATGCTACGTGTACAGAGATCTCACCTTACAGAAACATGAGGTGGGTGCAGCAGACCTTAGCAGGTTGCAACTAAACCCACATGCCATGCATCTTGGAGACCCCTCAGAGTTCCTTCCCAGAGAGTACCAGAACAAGTGATATGGAAAAACAGTCTGGCCTACTGCGATCATATAGACATGCAGCAAACAGTCCTGGGGCTGAGAGACCGAGGCGGGAAGGCAAGTGGAGAGGGAGAAAGAGCAGTCTAAAGATCAGGGAAAGAGAGTCTGGAGTGGGGCTGTCTCGTGTTTGTGCATGTGTGTTAGGAGGGATGCAATGGAAAGAGGGGGTCTGAGAGACAGGAAATGAAGTGTTAGAGATGAGTCTAACTGTATGCAGAGGGACAGATTTACTGTCAACCCTTAAATGGAGTAAGGAAATGCTGATGATTTTGCTTTTTAATCTAATTAATTGGCTAGAGGGAACCTTCAGTATTTCCACCGTGCTACTAAAACTCCTCTTCCTGTAACCTCAGTACAGAACAACCCCAAGATTGGGTAGTGCTGAGATCTTTGGGTCATCCAACCTCGACCTTGGGTTGTGATCTGGGTTGTGCCAGCACCTTCACGAAGGGCACTCACTCAAACCCTTTACTCAGGGTGTGAAGGTCAGAAGAGATGCTCCACCTTCAACAGGTTCTGAATGCAGGACAAGACAGTTTTTAGTAGGTAGATTAGACCAGTAGCTCTCAATGGAGGCACTCTTGCCTGCTACAGAGTGTTTTGGGATTTTCTGACAGCACTTTTCATGTGCCACAAAACCACGTGGGAGCCAGAGATGTTGGACTTCTGCTATTCCCAGGACAGTCCTACTCAGAGAAAAATTGTGCATCATCCCACATAGCTTTTGAATGCACTGCCAGGCCTTCCTGTAAGTGAAGCTGTTTCTGATTGATCTACGCCTATAACCTAACTCCGATTGACATATTTTGCTGCCCAGTTTTAATACACACTAAAATTTCCGTGAATTTACAACTACCTTGTAAATTAGGGGAATATTCTGTTTTGTTTGAACTTTGCCAAGAATTAGACACTGAGAAAATCACATCACTGGCAGCAATGCTGCTCTGATATTTGAGTGGCATTTGTGGCTGTGATTTCACAAATAGATACAAGCATTTGACCACTTCATCATGCCTTTCATAGGTACATATTTAATTACACATTTTTTAATGAATTCATTTCTTTTTGTTTCTCTTATATATTACATTTTGGTCATTATATTGATCTTTTAAAAATATGCGTGTGGGTAATATGCTCTTATAGTGCACGTGTTCAGGATAGTAAAGAGGGGATTATACATGTTGCAAAAAGGAAATGTTGGGTCTGATGGGTGAGAATCACAGAGTTCGAAACACAGGAAACTTAGATATGACCCACTACGTGTTGTGACCATCTTTTATCTTATTTTTAATGCTTGGTTGACCAGTGGATCTTTACGCAACTCCTCTGATAAGCCTACAGTGGTTTAAGCACCATACCGGTATACTGAAGACAGAAAGACATGTGAGTCACTGAGTCTCTTTCAAGTTTCAGACCTGTGGTGGCTTCCCAGAGGCCAGAGTAACCCAGAAGAGAATGATTAAGGCATGACATTCTGGGAACTACAGTCCTGGCACATAATTGTGACTATGACACAAAATGAGGTGGTGGGTGCAGCATCTCATATCACTTTTGAATGCACTGCCAGGCTTTCACGTAGGCGAACCTGTTTATAATGATCTATGAACCTAAAGTGAGGGGCTGAGAGCAAATGCTCAGGCAGGCAGGAGACTGTCAGTAGCAAGAGCAGGTGGGTGCAGTTTATGTAGCCCCAGCACCAGGCTGGGATGAGAGATGGGGCTCCATCTTCTGTGGAGGGACAAGGCAGAAGCAAAGCCTGGACTCAAATCACCAAGACTGGGGCCCAGAAATGAAGAAAGCTGAAAGTCAGTACCCAAAACATAGGTAAAGCAGGGACCCTGGGCTCAAGGTAGCAGGTCAGGACTCAGAGGGGCTGACGTCCAGGGCAGACAAGCCCCAGACCATGTTGGGTCACGGTGAAAGAGTTACAGTGGCTTAATATGTTTTGCTAAAAGAACAGATAATTTTTGTGCCAGGTTTTAAAGAGGAAGCCAGGTGTGGAGTCTGGGACCCATGCTTGAGCTGACACTCAGGCAGTTCGTCATCTAACTGGAAGAACCGAAATATGAATACATAACAAATGAGTCACCTGAGCCGTTGTTAACTGAACGTGGAGCAGTATTTCAAGAGTACCTGAAAGCTTACATTATGCATTGCCTGGCTTGGTCCAAGGAGGGCATGAGATTCCAGGACACAAAAGAGTCCTCTGGGTTGGAGTGGGTTCTGAAGGCTTCATGGAAGGGCAAAGGCTTAAGCTCGCCCTTGAAGAGTAGATGAATGGATAACTGCATTCATTCAGGCACTCATTCATTCACCAAATACTTAGGAATCCCTGCAGCGAGATAGATGCCAAGAATAAAGAGGCGAACAATAGGGACACTGATGTTGGCTGCATAGAAATTACAGGCTGATGTAGGTTTCAGAGACGCAAACATGCAAGCAGGGCTGGGCAGCTTTTGGCCGGGGACTGGAGGAAGTATGTAAGGCCAATGAGGCACACCTGGGGCCAGCTTCTAAGGCAGTGTTCTTCCTGCTAACCCGGGCTGCTGCCAGGCCCAGCATTAACTGTGCATACTTTCTACCTGCTTTAAGGCTTAATCCTAAAGAGAACTAAAAATACGATTAACATAAACTCTTTGAGCTAGAAGGTGGCAAATACTTTCTGTAAAGGCCCAGATATTAAACACTGTAGGCTTTGCAGGTGTGTCATGAAATACTGTTTTTGTTTTGATTGTTTTCAACCATCTAAAAATGTAAAACTCATGTTTAGCTTACAGGCCACATTTGGCCTGCAGGCTGCAGTTTGCTGACCCTGGTCTAGGCCAATACAATTACTTTTGTTCATAGACCAAGATGTTAAAGTGCATTGGTGGATGGTAGTAAGTACTATTTATTATAAGTAACATTTGTAGAACAAGAAACATTGTCCAATGCTTTTCATGTTTATATATATATTTACATACATCCTGCTTGGTCCCCAAAACAATAGAATTGGAGTAGATAAGCCATATAACATCAATGTCTTTATTCCTCATTTCAGAGATAAATAGATTGAAGCTCAGAAGAGTTCACATGTCACATTAAGTCACAGAGCCACAAAAGCCACTGGGTCTCGGATCCAGTGATTCCAGAGCATGTCCTCCTTTGACAGCTGCTTTGAACGGGCCATACAGCCAAGTATTCACAACTTTCACAGGATGCTTTAGTTTCGACTGTGAAATTAGAGGCTTACACTTAAAAAAACAAACAAATAGTGGATATGGTCTGAATTATTGTCAGTGCTATCAAGAGAGAAGGATTGAGTAGACTCTTCTGTATCCAGGCACTGGTCTAAGTGCTGGGAACACATCATGAAATTGAATAGACACAACTCTTCTTTCATTAATAGTTTGCTTTCTAATGAAAATTATTCTAATGATAATGGCACAGCAGTAGAAGTAGCAGCTACTTAAATGCCATGTATTGTGTCTGGAGTTATAAATGTCTTATCACTAATCCTCAAAATAGTGCTATAACGTGGGTCTTATTCTCCTCATTTTATAAATGCATTAATAACAATAGCTAACATATGGAACTTACTCTATACTGTCTATACTTGGAAGGAGCTGTGCAGAGGAGATAAGGGAGCAGGCAGGTAGCCAAGGGGGATTTGAACTCAGGCTTATACACCCTAGAGTCTAAGGCCTCTCCTCTTGGTGCTGAAGCAAAACCCTAGGCCAGTTGACTGCATCAACTCACCTCCACTTGTCCATGCCTGGTGGATTTCAATCAGACGTAGTGTTCCTTCATTTTAGTAGTCTGTCATTTATGAGCTAAGGCAGCCAGAGAGCACTTATTCATTAGTGCTTTACACAGTGATGATTGCTGAGATGGCACTTCCGGAGTCATATAATGCTATTTTCTAAAGCTTGTAACTCTGAAGTAATTGCCTCAACGGATTACAGTTTCATCCGTGTTCCTTTTGTCATAGGTGTAGTGGGGGGAAACACTGCCGTTGACGTGTCGTTGGGCAGTTTTGAGGCATAGGCATCTACCTTACGGTTTCAGGGGACACTGAGTTTAATTTAAAACTTAGAAAGAAGACGGGAGTGATGTGCTGGGTGAAATTCTTCCCGTCCTTTGCTACGTTCATTCTCTTTTTACCTGCGCCATTCAAAGTGAGGCCGTTGACGGATACCACTCCCTAGAACTGTTAACATTATTATTTAACTGGCATGAATGTAGCAAAATTCAAGCTTCAGAATCAAATGACCTTTCTTCAGCTTCTCAACTTATTGTGGCACAGGTGCACAAAGGAGGTTTTGTAAGCACCCTTTCCTTCAGTCTTTAGGAAATCACTGAAGCTTAAGCGTAGAGGGGGACCCTAGCAGGCTTCATTTTGAACTTCCCAAATTTTCTGTGATTAAGACTTTGGCAGAAAATAGATTCTTTTTTGTATGTTAAAAAGAAATCCTGAATAACGTGTAAATGGGTTTTCCTTATAAATACGTTTATCTGAAGAACTTCATCATTGCATAAATTACTTCTTCAAAATTAATTTCTATTTTTTTTAAAGAGCTGAAACCCATGTTTTCAATGTGCCATTAGGAAAGCTCAGTGATCACATATAACAATATATTAAAAGCCATACAGAAAAGAACCTATTTTTTAAAACCCATAACTCAACAGACTAAAAAAATGACAGACTAGCCATTCATGCAAATTAGCTAACTCACATTTATCAGAGAAAATATTTCATAGCATTAACAACACTGTCATTTAAGAAAAATTAAATGGGGCCCAGAACCACACATTTATTTTTACTGCATTCATTATTCATTTGCATGTTTCTTTCCTCTCTTTAAAAAAAAAATATGTAAGTTTTGAATTCAAAGTTCAGTAGAGGAAGAAGCAGATGATTTTCTCATTTTAGTGACCCTGTGGTTAGCAGCAATAAAGCAACAGGAACAAATCTGGCTTGAAATGTGTCCAAATCCACATCTCCCAGTGTGCACAAAAGGCAAAAAAGTAAGATGTGCAGCGGATATTAACATGAGTAATCTTGGAAATCTAAATATTAAACATATGTCAAAGATTATCAAATACACATCCACATGTCTTATAGAGATGTCTTTCATCTGAGGAGCTCCAACCCATTTCAATGTGCATAGGCTATTTTCTAGCCCTGAAGTCCTCATCAAAGCTTGGCATATACAGCAACTACAGCACAGTTTTTTAGATGGGTCCTTATGAGGTAATAACTCCTTAGCTCCCACATCTTCCTGAAAGACAGTCTTATTAATTTCTGCCCCACCCAGGGATGTTATTTTAAGTCAAAGTTGATTAAGTAATTTGCCCAGTAAGCTATGCAATTGGGGAAATTTCCTGTGGTCTTTGAGTTGTGTTCTGATGTTGAGGTCACTTGAACCCATGTTCGACTCCATCTTATCCTAGCAATCCAGAGAAGAATCTTCTAGATGAGAAACTGAGAAGTCTTATTGTCTTAAGCTCCTGGGTACTGTGTGAAGACTGTGACTTAATTCCTCCCATCCATTAGTAAAATATGCTTATAATACTT